GAAATAGGCGGCGAGCGTGAACGGATGCCTGAACCTATTATTCGTGCCTTTGGTATTCTCAAGAAATGTGCTGCTAAGGTTCACCAACTAATAGGATCATTAAATCCAAATAATGGTTAATTTTGAAGTAATCAGTAATTAGTAATGATTATCTTGGCTTATTTTAAATTAAATTTGCTTTTTTATTTGGTTTAGGTGAATATGGACTATGGTCTTGATCCAACCATTGGGAAAGCAATAATGCAAGCGGCCCAAGAAGTAGCTGAAGGGAAACTCAACGATCACTTTCCGCTTGTTGTTTGGCAAACTGGCAGTGGCACTCAGAGTAACATGAATGCCAATGAGGTCAATGCAATTATATGTTAAGCGGAGTGAAAATTCTTGTCATTTGAGAATCATTATTATATTAAAAGTTTACTTTATTTTGTAATTTTGGACTATTTCCAGGTTATTGCTAATAGAGCAGCTGAGATCCTTGGGCATAAACGTGGTGAAAAGTTTGTGCACCCAAATGATCATGTTAACAGATCTCAGTCGTCTAATGACACATTCCCAACTGTAAGTGGGATCACTTATCTAACTTGTTGGTTTTTGCCAATCAGATTAAAATTTCTACAATTGAAGAATGCACCTGCACAGACATATATGGGTTCTCCTTAACACAACTTTTCGCGTGCTGCCTATTTTATTATGTTAGATTCCTTATTCTTTCTCCAGGTAATGCACATTGCAGCTGCAATGGAAATAAACTCAAGATTAATACCTAAGTTGAAGATTTTGCATTCCACATTACATTCAAAGGTTTGCTGCTACCCTCTTTTGTGCTTTTGCCACTAGTTTAGGGCATTTTCGATGTATAATCTCTCTTACTTTCACTTCTTTCTTCTTATTTAAATTGGATATCTCTGCCTTCCATGCCATTGTCGCATTACATGTGTGTTCACAACTAATTATCACACAATCGTCTACTGCCTGAAAATGGATTTTTCTGGCCATACCAGATTTTCTAGATGGCTGATATTTTCTTATTTGAATTCAATCTCTTTGGTTCATTTAAGTTTTGTGTTTGCACCTACACTATATATATATGTATGGTATATATATATATATATATATATATATATATATATTTAATGAATTCACACTCAAGATGAATTTTGCTTGTGTTCATGTTCACCAGTCTATGGAATTCAAAGATATTGTTAAAATTGGTCGCACTCACACTCAAGATGCAACACCTTTGACTCTTGGTCAAGAGTTTAGTGGCTATACAACACAAGTAAGATTATTTATCTAGCACTTGTTTTCATTATCTTTGGGATCAATTTGTGTTTAGTGCAGGGATGGTAATGGGGGATTACTTATTATTGTCTTGCATTGTGCTTGCAGGTCAAGTACGGAATTGATCGGGTTTTGTGCACTCTGCCACGCATGTATCAGGTTTGCAATCATGTTTTAATGCATTGTGTTCCTTTTAACCTGTATTGACTACTGACATATAGGGATGTCATTTGAGCAGCTTGCACAAGGTGGTACTGCAGTGGGGACAGGATTGAATACAAAGAAAGGGTATGTGTTACTTTAGGGTTGAGGCATGCTTCTCTGATGTTGTAATTATGTCTATTCTCCTTTGCCATTTTTAGAGTTGGTTTTGTTTCTTCTGATGCCATATTCTTGATTTATTTTACTCGGTTTGCTTTGTTGCTTCTGATTTATTAAGATCCAAGTCTTTTATGATTATGCTTCTCTTCTGAGCTGTAATTTATGTTGTCTCATATATTATATACTCAGAGACACTCTTTGGTAGACCTGTGGATGTTCGTCTAAAACTATTTTACCTCTGTAATCTTCTACTTGTTTTTTTCCCAAATTAATAGATGTCGCACCTGGTGCCCCATGAATTGAAGTAGTTGTTACTAAGTTTGCAGATTGTGAACCTTAAAAGGAAAATTTTATTAGAATTGTTTACCATTATCTGGAATCATGATCCTTTTGATTGTCTCATGCTTAATTTGACAGTGCTCAATGTTAAAATCAATCTAGGTTTGATGGAAAAATAGCTGCTGCAGTAGCTGACGAAACACAATTGCCATTTGTCACAGCAGAAAACAAGTTTGAAGCTTTGGTTAATCTCTTAACTCTCTCTGCTTAAGCTTTTACATTTTCCATTTTGTTTTCGGTTGAAGGAATTGCTTATTACCTTACATCTCATGACTTGTAATGCAAAATAGTTTCAGATGCATAAATATTCGCTCTTTTTATCAGGCTGCACATGATGCCTTTGTTGAAACTAGCGGAGCCCTAAACACTATTGCTACTTCCCTGATGAAGGTTGCAAATGACATACGCTTGCTGGGAAGGTTTGTCCGCAGTTTGGGTAACTGCATTTTTCCTTTTTTGTTGTTTAGCCTTATTCTGATGGTTTTGGCATTTTCCTTCTTCAGTGGTCCCCGATGTGGCCTTGGTGAGCTTATTCTTCCTGAAAATGAGCCAGGCAGCAGTATTATGCCTGTAAAATTCTCATCTCAGTTTCCATAGATTTATTTATTAGCAAAGGCCTTTTTTTTCCTATTTAATTCACTCTTTGCAGATTTGTCTTCCCACATAATCTTATTATTTTGACTGAGCTTATTCTGTTTCAGGGGAAGGTGAATCCAACCCAGTGTGAGGCTCTTACTATGGTCTGTGCCCAGGTAAAATTTTTTATTATTATTTTGTCACATTTAGATGGTATTGACCAACTGGAGTGTTTATCGGCTGGCAGTTAAATGGTCACCTTCTTTTATCAGACTATAATAAGATGGAAAATTGCTTTGCAGGTTATGGGTAACCATGTGGCTATCACCGTGGGTGGATCAAATGGCCACTTTGAATTGAATGTGTTCAAGCCAATGATTGCTAGTGCACTCCTACATGTACGTTCTTTTGTTACAATAGTTATTTAAGAATTGTACTTTATATAATTTCAACACTTTCAAGTTCCTTATGCATGATTAATTGGTGTGGTTAGGCTAGCAATTCACCATAGATGTAACAGTATGTTGACTGTAAACCCACCTTATACCTTTGAGAGTTTGTAAATTAATTCAGTGGATCTTTGATTTTGTAACTGAAACTTTTAAATTTCCGGGCCAATCAACTGCTCATTTAAAGAGTCAAATCTCTTTCTTTCCGAAGATTTTATAAAGTTATTGAATATGTAATAAATGAATTTTTCTAATGAAAAATATTCTTATAATTTGAGATTTGACAATCATGTGCTTGACCTGTCTTGAGATATTTTCACACTTAGGATGCTGATAACATGGCTATATAATTGAATGTATTCATTTTCGTTCAACTGGTGCTTTGGTTCTTTGTTATCAGTCACTGAGATTGCTGGGTGATGCATCTGCTTCCTTTGAGAAGAACTGTGTGAGGGGAATTCAAGCTAATAGGGAAAGAATTTCAAAATTACTTCATGAGGTCAGTTGATTCTACTTGTTTAATATTTATTTTGATGCTATATGATAAATTCTCTAGCTAATGATTGTGTGATTTTGCCTGTGACATTTTGCATGGTCTTGCAGTCTCTAATGCTTGTCACATCCTTGAACCCTGTAAGTTTTCATCCCTGTTTCCTTGTCTATGATCAGTCGTTCCACAAGTCCTTGCATTTTGAATCACGTCTCTAATTACCTCTTTGATTCCAGAAAATTGGTTATGATAATGCTGCAGCTGTTGCCAAGAAAGCCCATAAGGAGGGGTCCACTTTGAAGGTGAGATTTGTACTTGTCCCATGTGGTTCAGTTTTTGAATCTCTTTTGCTGCAATAGTATTTAAACTCAATGACTCATCGCCTTATTTGATTAAATGTTTGTGATGCTTAACTCCAATATGTTAATAATTCAGCTCTTATTTAATTGCAACGAAATTGGTTTTCCGAGACTCTATAGTATCATAGATATGGATATTTGACCTATTTAGGGCACAAAAGTTGTGTTCATACTGGAACTGTTCAGTGTTTGTCTTGATCCTCACTTTGGATGGCTGAAATATCAAATCTGACCGACACTTTTTTATGCTTATCTTTGCAGGAAGCTGCATTGAAACTTGGTGTGCTAACAAGCGAAGAATTTGACAATCTTGTGGTGCCTGAGAAAATGATTGGCCCATCTGACTGACAAGCTATTTTGCTACCCAGATTTTAGTTTTTAAACCGTTTTTCTCTATCGGTTGGATTTTTTAAGTCCAATAAAATCCAACGGCAATTTTTCTTCATGTTCTGATTTTGGAAATTGATGTTCTTGAGGTTTTCCCATTGGGTTTGTATTGTTTATGCATTTTGCAGTGAAAGAGTGGCCCTTAATTGGCTAATAAGGGGAAAGCCTCCCTCATTTTTTAAGGAGACTGTGTACTGAAGGAAAGTTAAATGTAGAATAAAAGAGCTGATATCAAGTTGCCATCAAAACTGAATTTGACATACTTCTTAAATGACAGTGCCTTTTTGCTGTGGTACATACAGAAATTCTCTTGAATCTTGATGTGTAACCAGGGGCGTTTTCTCTCATCTCAAGAACAATTAGTGTAGTTAGTTTTGGTTTGACTCTACTAAGACCTTCGCATGACCAAGCGTAACAATCAAAGTCAATTTCCTAGACGTTACCTATTTTTGCAATTCAAGAAAAACAAGTAATGCTTTTAAAAAACCTTTTGTCTGTCCAAATCAGTACGATGACTCTGACAAAAGGCCACCCACTTGTTCTTTGGCCAATTAGTTTAACCAAATGTGACCTGCAAACTTTGTGCAACTTCCTGGCATGCGGGCTAGCAAAAGAAATTGGGAAATAGCATATAGTAGCCATGGGAAAGAAGAAAATAGCTTTCGCCCAACTACGTCAGCCAATTATCGAGCTGTCAGATTATTGAATTATCTTTCTTTTTCCTTATCTTAATGTTCAAAAGGTGTATATTTTCTCTTTAAAAAGAAAGAAAGAAAAAAAGGAAGAGCATTCATTCGGTGATACAGAATGATCAACTAGTTTAATTTAATAATCAATACAGGGTTTTAGACGGCTTCAAGCCTATTTTTAACAATTCTTCCGTAAATCTGGCGTAGTTTTAACATATATAAAATACCTTTATGCGAAAACAACTCAAGTAGTAATTTTGCAGTTCAAGCTAATCAGGTCCCACATGGCTGGGAGAAGAAATTTTCTACCATTAGCACCATAGGCATTATAACTAGCTTTGCTCATTTTATCGACCAACAAAGTTCCAGGATACCCGGGATAAGCTCCAGCGCCAAATATTCCAGGACAGGCCGTGACAGCCTCCAACGGTGCCAAGGCGTCTCCTTGAAAGTAACCAGTCTTGAATGGGTTACTGGCAGCCCCTGCAAGAAGGGTGGCAATGTTGATGATCATGCCATCGGCTCCAACACCGTTGGGTGCCACCAAGGCTTGGCCTGGAGGGCCATAAGCAGGTAGAGCATAAGGCCATGCACAAAGACCAGGGCATTGGACCGAAGGGTCTCCGACGTGTGCATATACCACTCTAGCCATTGCCCCTACCATTATGCTCTCATGGAAACCGCACGATCCCATGCAGAAACGGTCTACTGTAACATCTTTAGCAGTCAAAACTAAGTATATTCCAGTAGAGTCTAATGGAAAGATTTTGTTGTCTATCTTGCTTTTCACAAAGTTGGCTATTTGGGCGCGCTTCAGAGTCTTCCCTAAAGAATATACATCTCCAACTTGTTTGACAAGTCTAACGGTACTGGAACCTGGTTTCCCAGCTTTGTCCTTGTATGTACTGATTGTTCTCCACCATGTAGAAACAGATGGTCCTTGGCGAAGACCAGAGCCCGCGAAGGAAGCGAAGAAATCAGTTATAGAGTTTCTGTCTTCCTGAGAGAATCCTCCATACCATATGAGGTAAATGTTAATGCCATTTGGCGTGGTCAAGAGAGGGCCTCCATGGTATTGGACTCTGGTGGATGCAACGGCTAAAGAAGAATGTTGCGGTTGCCCTTGGCTCGCTTGGGCAACGATAAAGATGTGGGCCAATAGCAAAGACGTGAAGAACAATATTCTGGTCATTCTCGATTGAAATGTAGCTTAGAGAATGCTGAGCTTCATAGGCCAAGGAACGTCCCTTTTATAGATGCTTGGTAGTCCTCATGCGTAACCAGTTTAGAACTTGATGTTGGATACCCATTGCATTATTGCTACGAGGGGTTGCCCAACTTGACCTCAATTTTGCCGAAAAATACATCGAACTCCTGTAGTGAAAGTACTACTTTCCAACCAAATTGTACGCAAGGTGGATGATAAGGACATAAATTTCAAGTAACATTGCATGTATGGTTAAGTTGATGTGTCAGATCTTTGATGATCCGATCGTGCTAATCAATCAAATGGGCTAAGAAGATCCCACTAATGCTCAAGTAGTACTACTTCTGACGTTAAAAAAGTATTCAACCTTTTGATCATTTAAAACTTTTTATTTTCTTTAATTCAATACTTTCGTAGATGGGACGGTTTGGCTCCACATAGAGCACTCAAAATGAATCTGACCCTAGAAGGGATTTACACCTATTTCGATTGTGGTTAATTAGTACAAATAATTAATGAATTATGATCAATAATAATAGGCCTTTTCATTTTTGATAAAATTCATTGTCATAATTGATTATGACAAGCATTTGGAGGTACATAGCAGATAACATACAACAAAATAATTCAATCATTAAATTTTCTTGCAAATCAGTATTTCTTTTCTCTTTGGGTTCTAATATTCTTGAACTATATACAAACTTCTATCTCACACACCTAAACAATTTTACCAGGGCTTCGAAGTTGCTTAAAGATCCTTCACCGATAGAAGAAAGGAGGAAAGGGAAAATAAAAGAGAAAAAATCTTTTATCCCCTTGGAACATGCTATGAAACAGATCAGAGAGTTGGCACTCTGGTTGAGCTCGAAGCAGTGGAAGTTAGAGAGAGATGTTTCTTCCACCAGGTCCTGTGGTCGACATGGGTTTTAACTGTTGATTGGATACAAATTTATTAAACATTCCAACCTGCATTTAGTTGTAAAAATGATTGGATACAAACTGTTAAATCATGTCGATGCCACCATGCAATAGAAAAAATAAAGACGTCGAGTTTGCAATGGGCTCCATATGATTAATGTTAAAGATAAGCACGGTTAGCTGCCCCATGATTATTTGGTAAAGCCAAGATCAACATCTAAGATGGATTCATGAATCCTGTTACTGTCCCAAGGGAAAAGCAAGGAGATATATAGAACTCTGTGACCCATTCATTTTCCCTCATTTTTCTTGTTTGGATTTAGGGGAAGAAAGACTTTGGCAGCACCACCACACGAGTACGTTTGCTTGTAAGAGTCAAGCTTTGTTGACACCCTACCAACTCTGCGGCAAAGCCTGTAACCCTTTTTCAGTTGATTTTGATTGGCCGACATGAGAATTTACTTTCATAATCTGAAAGATTATTCTTCATATTTCTCTATCTCAAAATAATGCACTGCAAATCAAATAATAATAATAATAATGATGATGATGAAGTGATTGGCAACATTTATTTTGATGCTCTAACTCTGATTGCTTCTTAACAATATATGCAAACGGCTAGATCCTCGACCTTAGAAAAAGCCGGCTTAGGTTCAAGTAGAAATTTAGGAGATCATATGTTACTTTTTTCAAATATAGTAACTAGAAAAATATAAATAAGTTGGAAATCAATAACTTCAAAAATTCAGAAATACATAGCATTGAATCATCGATAAATAAAGGTAAATAAAATCATTTCGATTTAAAAGACTAATTGAATTGAAGGGAATTCAATTCGTTTAATTTTATTATAACAGTTTTTGAGATGTTGGTTAATCCTCAAACTTAATTGTGAAAGAAAAAGAAACGAAAAATTGAGATTCATCCTGAGGAAATTGGGAGTTGTATTTTTTACATTTTGTGTGCCATAATTTTAATTTAATAATATTCCCTCTTTCTTTTGTTTTGTTTTTTTTTAATAATTTAGAATTTGGTCCTTTAGTTAAGATCCAAAAGCTAAACAGGAGCCTACTCTACTTTTTCCGGGCTCTATCGTTTCTTATTCACTCTCCAGGACCTCTCTTTCAGGAGTTTAGGGATTCAACAAATTCATAGGCCCAATAATTTGGGTTCTGCTATAGCCCAATTCAAGTTAATGGAATTTCTACTTGATTAGACAAATTCCAAGTCCCAAGAAAGCCCAAAGTTGAGTTGCAGAAGGTTTTATACACAACGGCTTCAATCCCCGCCTATTTACTTCTGCTCCGCGGTGCCCCTCTCTAATTTTTCGAAATTAAAAGACTGTTTAATTGATTTTCTTTGCTATATTAAGATCCTTTGATTTCTTTTGTTAATTACTCGTTATCGCCGCCTTGGTGAACTTCCGCCGTCATCTCAGGCCATCGGCTCATACTGGCTTCGTGCTGTTGTTTACGCTCTTTTAAGGTACGGAACGCTGCGATTTTGTTTTGATTTTAAGAGACTTCATTAGCGCAATCCAATTATAGCTATTTCAATCCATTTTTGAATTTATTATTTTAATTTTATATTTCTAATGTTGAGCCTGAGCACTACATTTCATTGACTAGTTTGATTAAATGAGAAACTATTTTTTTTTTTGTTGAAGCAAATGATCAGAAATACTTTGCTAACTATCTTTCCATCTTCTCCGTTTCTAGAAAATTTTTTTGATTGTTTATTGGTTTGGAAAAATAATTAAATTTATCAACATTATAAAATGGAGATTGAAAATTGAATGGGAGGAATTCGATATAATTTCCAAAACTGAACAGAATCTCACCTTTTTCTTTTTCAGGCTTATCTGAGCTATATTGAGGAGGAAAAATGGAAAGTTCTGGCCTGCCCGTAGAGTTGATGACAGGACAAGATTCATGGAGGTATATGAACAGTTCAAGTTTACTCTTATCTGTTTGATGCAAAATTATAGGAAACAAGTTTTTTTCTTTAGAAAGGAGTTTTTATGTTTAAATATGTGTATTAGGGTAAAGTTTTGTTTAGGTTCATGTTAAAATATTTGATGTGGATAGTTCAAATTTATTTGTTCACTGCTTTCAATTTCTTCATATCTGATAGACATTAACAGAATCCTATTTGCCTACTTTTGTAGTTTGGAAGGCAGTGATAGTAATGCTTTAATATTGCCTACAAAAAGAAGCAAGAAAAGGAAAGAGAATAATCTGGTATGAACAATGATTAGATTAACCTTTGATTCTTGTTTTGATCATATCAAATAAAAGCTTGTTGTCAACTACTTATGCCTACAGGAGCTTGAAAAGGCCAAAGAGAAACAAAACCCCAAATTGAGTAAATCTCAGATAAGAAAGTTGAAGATGTTGGAGGTTCTTGCTCTTTCTTGATAATTGATACCCTACTTGGTTTGCTGTGTGTGTGTGTGTGTGTTTGTGTGTGTTAGAGATGACTTCTGTTTTGTTGGTGCAGGAGGAGAAAGAGAAAGCTTTTTGGCTATCAAAGAGCATTGAGGCCTTGGAGTAGTTTCCTTTCTTTTTCTAAATAATGTATCCTACTTTATTTGTCTTTCATTGAGGAAATTTATTGAATGTTTGGCAGATACTATAACATTTGCATTTTCAGGAAATACAAGATTCTGGAAGATGCATATTCTTTACTGTGGTCTTCAAAAACTATTGGTCTGGTTTGTATCATCGAGTCTTTACCAACTTTAAATCAAAACATGGTTAGTATGCCTAATGTTAATTTGCTTTACATATGCTGAAACAATGCGGGAAAAACGTAGGTGAGCTGTTCAGTTTTCGAAAGCAGGTTTAGAGCTTCCATATGTTGACAAATCTTCTAAGGGGAGAGACAGCAATAATTTGTCTTCTTCTTCTGAACCTGAACCTGAGTTGGAGGAAATTGACTCAAGGAAGGATATTAGCAAATATCACATTGGGCAGCCATTGATAATAGAAATAGAAGTTGCAAGAAATGCACTTGGTCCTTTGGCATCTTCTCAAGAGCCGGTTTTTGGCAAGGACCTAGGCCCAAGCTGCAGTTCTGTTGATACAGTACCAATTAAGGAGGTTCCCCTCAAGGACAACAGCACACCTTCAGAAGAAGATATTAAAAATTGCATCCCTAAGTTGTCCGCTGATGATAGGAGAGAAAGCAATATGTCAAAGGTAAGTTGGAGTTATGAAAGTTTAATCTATCATTTGAAGGAATTGCTATACATAATACTTTGGTTAGGTATTATACTCTTAAAATTTAATGTTTATAAAGCTTTGTGCCTTGTGTTGTTAATTGCTATATAAGTCATAAGTTAGAAGCACTTTTTTTTAGATGTGATGAAAAAATTGAAAGGATATGCAAAATGTATCTTAACTTGCAAAAGTTAATTTGTTGTACATAAGCTGAATAGAACTGTAAAAGAAACAATGAAATAGAAATCTCAAGTTTAATTTCAATTAAAATTTCATGCTTAATTTCATTATATTTTCTTTGATGTTTATCGGCTATGTTATGTTATTTTCTTATTTGAGAAGGTGGTTTGACATGAGGTAAGTTGATCAGATAACAGCCCAAACATTTATTTCAACGGGACTTGTCATGTTTGGCTTTGTTCTTTGCAGGGGCCTCTTTCTGCCTCAACCGTAGTGCATGTGTTAAGGCCAGATGAGGTTGAAAACAAAAGGAAGGATCTTCCGATAGTCATGATGGAACAGGAAATAATGGAAGCTATAAATGAAAATTTTATTATTTGTGGAGAGACTGGATGTGGTAAAACCACACAAGTTCCTCAGGTGTGGCTGTTTGATGCATGATTGTGTCTACTGGGATTAAAAACTAATTTTTCTGTTCAATAATTCTTTTCTTTTGCAATTTTTGATCCAATATTTTAGTTTCTTTATGAATCTGGCTTTGGTTCAAGCCAGTCTACTTTTCGAAGCGGTATCATTGGTGTTACTCAACCTCATCATGTTGCTGTCCTTGCTACTGCTATGCGAGTTACTTTTGAACTTGGTCTTCATCTAGGTAAAGAAGTTGGGTTTCAAGTTAGGCATGACAAGAAGATTGGGGAGCAGGTGCTCTATCAAGTTTGATGAGACTGATGAAATTTTACTTTGAGAAGTTCATGTTTTACTTCCACTTACTGTTGATATATATATCTTATCTGTGATAATGCCGATGACTATGCATGAAAAATAAAATAACTTCCGTTCTTTCTTTAACAACTTAACCTTTATATTCTTCTTATATCTGCATATTTTGGGGTGCAGAATGATTTTCTACTAAAGTGCTACTCCGTCATAATTCTGGATCAGGCTCATGCGAGGAGCTTGAACACAGACATACTTATTGGAATGCTTTCTCGTGTAATTCGACT